TACAGACCAAGTTCCAGGACAGCCAAGGCTACACAGAGAAAGTCTTTCTTGAAACAAAGAAAACAAATGCTGTGTGTGTGTATAATGCAATAAAAAGAATTTTAGGAGCTGAAGTTGGCTCAGCCAATAAAGGCCATAGAACCAGGGTTCAAGTTCCAGCACCCACACACCAGTTCCTGGGGATCTGGTGGCCTCTTCTGTCCTCCATGAATACCAGGTATGCACAGGGCGCACATACATGTTAGCAAAACACTCACAGACATAAAAATAAAAATAAATAAATTTTAAAGAACTTCTGAGGGGAGGGGAAGGGAAATGGGAGGCGGTAGTGGGGAGGAGGCAGAAATCATTAATAAATAAATAAATAAATAAATAAATAATAAAAAAAAAGAATTTCTGAGGGCTAGATGTGGCAGCACATACCTTAAATCTTTTTTTTTTTTTTTTGGTTTGGTTTTTTTTTTTTTTTTTTTTTTTGGTTTTTCGAGACAGGGTTTCTCTGTGGTTTTGGAGCCTGTCCTGGAACTAGCTCTTGTAGACCAGGCTGGTCTCGAACTCACAGAGATCCGCCTGCCTCTGCCTCCCGAGTGCTGGGATTAAAGGCGTGCGCCACCACCGCCCTGCCACACCGTAAATCTTGGCATTTAGCAGGTGTATCTCTGTAAGTTCAAGGCCATCCTAGTTTACATATTGAATTGCAGGACACTGGGGACTTTGTAGAAATCCTGTTTCAATAACCCCACCCCAAAGTAAAGAATTTCTGAGGGTGAGAATGATGGTTCAGTAGTTAAGAGCATTTTTTCAAGAGGACCCAAGATCAGTTTCTAGCAACCGTATTAGTAGGCTCATAACCCTCTGCAACTCCAATTCTAAGAGATCTGATGTCCTTTTCTGGCTTCTGAAAGCACCCCAACCGGGGCAAACAGACACAGACACTCTCTCCTCTCTTACACGCGCATGCACACACACACACACACACACACACACACACACACACAGTATTTTTAAAAGATTTTTTTATTTGGATGTTGACGATGTAACAACTGGCACAGTCCTTGCCCGGCACACATCATACCCTGGATTCAATGGCATAAACCCGACATGGTGACAAAAGCCTGTAATGCCAGCACTTGGGGGGTGGGAGGCAAGAAGATCAGAAGTTTAAGGTCATCCCTGGCTACATAGAAAGTTCAAGCTAAGTCAACCTAGGTTACATAAGGCATGTCTTTACCAAAAAAAAAAAAAAAAAAAGGCCAGGCAGGCGGTGGTGGTGCACACCTTTAATCCCAGCACTTGGGAGGCAGAGATAGGCAGATCTCTGTGAGTTTAAGGCCAGTCTGGTCTACCGAGCAAGTCCCAGGACAGACAGGGCTGTTACACAGAGTAACCCTGTCTCAAAAAAAAAAAAAAAAGAAAAGTGTTCATACTTTACTAGAACAGGGTAGCACAGACACTTCAGAGGCTGAGAACAGGGTGGTGAGGTAAGCTGGAAGTCAGCACAAGTTGCAAAGCTCCTGGCCATCATGAGCTACATAACCAGGATCTCATCCTGGATCACAGGCTGCCACTGACACAACAAATATGAAATATGGGAGTAAGAGGCTTTGGATTGGGGTGGGGAATGGGTGTCATTTTTCTTAAAACTACAGGTAAAAATGCTGAGTGCATAGCTTCAGTGGCAGGCCAGTGGCAGACTGAGTAGCCCTGGGTTCAAACCCCAGCATCAAAAAATTAGTACAGGGGTCGGGCAACGGTGGAGCACACCTTTAATTCCAGCACTCGGGAGGCAAAGGCAGGCAGATCTCTGTGAGTTCGAGACCAGCTTGGTTTACAAGAGCTAGTTCCAGGACAGGCTCCAAAACCACAGAGAAACCCTGTCTCGAAAAACCAAATTAGGACAGAAAAAAAAAAAATAGAGCACACATATCCTAATATTAATTTAAACTGGTCATGGCGGCGTACGCCTTCAATTCCAACACTCATAGGCAGGCAGATCACTAAGTCTGAGGTCAGATTGGTCTGAGTTCCAGTACAGCCAAGACACACAAAGAAACCCTGTTTCGAAACCCCACACCCCCAACAAAGATGTAAACAGGGGCTAAAGGGTTGGATCAATAGCTAAGAGCATCGGCTGCTCTTGCAGAACTCAGGTTTAATTCCAAGCACCCACAAGGTGGCTGTCAACCTCCTATAACTCCAGTTTCAGATGATCCAATGCCCTCTTTTGAACTCCAAAACCACTAAGCAAGCACACACATGCTACACAACATATAAGAGAATCCTTTGCAGGGCGGTGGTGGCACACACCTTTAATCCCAGCATTCAGAGGCAAAGACTGGTGGATCTCTGTGAGTTCAAGACCAGCCTTGTCTGTAGCGAGTTTCAGGACAGACTCCAAAGCTACAGAAAAAGCGTCTCGACAAATCGGAAGGAAGGAAGGAAGGAAGGAAGGAAGGAAGGAAGGAAGGAATCTTAAAGGGTGGAAATGAACCGGCCTTGGTGGTGCATAACTTTAATCCCAGAACTCGGGAAGAGACAGGCAAGTGGATCTCTGAGTTTGAAGCTAATCTGGTCTACAGAGCTAGGTCCATGACAGTCAGGACTACACACACACACACAAATAGAACATAAAGCCTTTTTTCTCTCTTTTCACCTCCTCTTGCTATGTAGTCCTGGTTGGCCTAGACCTTACTATGGAGACTATACTGGCCTCTAACTTGCTTGCATAACTCCTGCCTTTGTTTCCTGATTGCTAGGATTTCAGGGACTTGTCTGGGTTTGAGCAGTATTGGAGATGGAACCCACGGCTTAACCATGCTAAACAAGTCCTCTACCACTGAGGTATACCCCAATCCCCAAAGCCAAACTTTTTAGTAGGATTGAAGCTATTATTTATTTTCTTGTGTGTTGCTGGAGTTTAAAATCAGGGCTTCATGCATGCTAAGCAAGTACTCTACCACTAAGCTACACACTGAGCCCAAAGCCTTTATTTTAAATTAGTACATGCTACAGAAGTTATTTCTATATTATCAATTTCAAATCAAAAGTGTCACACTCTGTTCCCTATTAGTAAGCAGAAGCATTACTTTCATAGTTTGATTTTTTTAATTAACAAATTCCAATACAGGGAAATTAACTATTAGTTGTTTCAGTAATAATAGTTTTTGGAAATTAAATTGTATCCTTAAGGCATGCATGGTGGTGCAGGCCTTTGATCCCAGTACTCAGGAGGCAGGAGCAGGTGGATCTCTGTGAGTTCAAGGCCAGCCTGGTCTACAGAGAGTTCCAGGACAGCCAAGGCTACACAGAGAAACCAATCCCAGTCTCAACCAAAAGAACAAAAAGCAAACAAACAAACTGTATCCTTTAAAATTAACCAGGAGTTTGCTTTCAAAGTGTTTCTAAGAAAGTTGGCATATGAACTCCACTGTGAGCAACACTTCCAGTATCTACAAGTGTTTACATTTGACAGCGCATACAACAACACCTCAACAAGGACACAACAATACCCTTTCCAATCTGTCACTAGTAACTTGAACCTGTACTTAGAACTTTTAAGCACCTGCATCTAAAAAGTACAGTGTACACTGACCATAAAAGATGAAGCAAACAGTTGGTAAGGATACTACTCTTATATAATATTCTAAGAACGTCTTTTTACTGAGTATTCAGCAACTATCACATGCATGAATGTTAAGCATTCCCTATCAATCCTATTTTCCACAAAGTTGACCCAGTTTAAAGCCTGAAATTGAGGCTTCTGGACGGTAGAAAATAAAAGTTAAGTAATTGGGTAGTCCTAAAAATACACATCACAACTACATGACTAAGATATTCGTTTAAAACTTGTGCCAAGATAACCCCTCCCTTCAAAACAAACGAAAATTGACTCATTGGCCTATTTTACTTAATTCTGGAAATTAAAAAAAAAATTAATGGATTCCTAAACACTCATTTCCTCTCTCTACCCCCCCCCTCCATCTTCACTCTGGGATTCCACCCTCCAAAAACACGCTTTAGTCAAATCAAGTCAAAAAGAAAAAAAAAATCTCCGTGAACTCAGGAATAATTCATGGAAAACAATAGTAACAGTGTCTATATAGAGGCTGCCTAAGGAGCCACTCCACCATGAGAAACCCCCTCACCCCAGATGCTTCTCATTTGTGGGACGACCCCATTTGTAGAAGCTAACCACCTAAGCAAAAGCTTTCAATTTTCTCTCCCTAAAGTGGGAAGCTATCAATCTCTTCGCCTAACACGTTCCACCCTTTGTGAATGTTTGTACACTGGGGGAGGGGGTGCGCTAGTAAACTTGGTAGGAAAGGACAAAGGGCATTCTGAAAGCAGGGGAGACTCAAGTAAATGGAGAATGAGGGCAGAAAGAGGGTTAAATTAAAGTCCCCTCAAGCAGCCGAACAAGGCAACGCCAGCACACCACCCTCCCTTTTTTGGCCACCCCCCGGGGGTCCTCTTCCTTATTACCGCCTACTGAAATCAAAAGTTGGACTACCCCTACCCAGACCAACAAATCTCTAAATGTCAGGGCACTAGCGACATCGGGAATGACAGGCTAATGTTCCTCCCCGACACTCCCTCCCCCCCCCAAAAAGAGAAAAGTCCAATCCAATAAGTGCAGGTCATCCTGCCCTCTGGGGCAGTTCCAGCCTGCGCAGAGAAGGCTCGGACGGGTCGAGAAAGAGAAGACAGACCATCTCTATTTCCACACACCCTCAGCTGGAGAAACAAAACAAAGGCAGCCCTCCTTCCCGGTAGCCACTACCCCAGCCACAGAGGCTTTCCTATTTCCCAGTGCAGTCTGGCCTCCCGCCCCCGCCCCATGACAAAGAAAAGGCACTTGGTGAGCAAGGCCTTCCTGCCTCCACGGCTGGGGGAGGGGGCTGCGAGGTGAGGAGCCCCCTCGACTCCCCCGCGCTCACGCTCCCGGCCCGCGGCGGAGAGCGGAGGCCTGGGAAGCCGGTCCGGGAAGGGGTTGGGGATACCTTGAAGTAGCCGCCTTCGTAGAGGGTGTTAGGGGGTCCGAAGATGGCCACCTCCCAGTTGTAGAGGTCGGACTCGTCCACCAGGGTGATCCGGAAGCCCTCCACTGGTTCCTCCTGCAAGGATTTCAGCTCAAGCATCAATGCTTTTTGCGAGCTGGTCATCTGCTGCTGGGCCATCGCGGCGGCGGCGGCCGTGCGGGGCCGCGGCCCCAGTCCTCGCGCACCGGCCGGGCCGGACCAGGCCCCTCCCCTCCGCTCGCTCTCGGGCCGGGCCGGGCCCCTGTCTTCACACGCCTGGGGGGGCCGGATCAGGCCCCAGACGGCCCGCGGGCCCGCCCGGGGTCCTCCTCACTCTCGACGCGGGCCGGCCCGGGCCCTCCTCAGTCTCGGGCCGGGTGGGGGCGGGCCTGAAGGAGTTGGGGGAATCCGCTCCCGGCCCCGGACCTCCCCCCCCCGGAGGGGGCCTCTACTTGGGGGGGGGGAGTGGAGGTGGAAGCGAAAGAAGGCGGCGGAGGGCAGGCGGTGGTGAAGACAAGGGGGCCGGGCTGGGCCGGGAGCGCCGTGCTCGCTCGCCCTCTCGTTCTCCGCGGGGGCCGGAGGGGCGCACAAGGGAGGGCGCGCCGTGCGCTAGGGTCTCGGGGACGGTGGCGGCGGCGGCGGCGGCTGCGCGGGGGGAGGGGCGGAGGAGAGGAGCGATAGCGCCTCGCGCCGCGGGAGCGACAGAGCAGAGAAGGAGGGAGGGAGGGAGGCAGGGAGGGACAGAGAGGAGGAGGGGCGCGCGCCGGGAGGGGGGCGGCTCGCGGCGGCAGCTGCCCGGTGCGCGTGCGCGCACCCCTCCTTTCTCCTTTCCTCCCTCCCTTCCCCCCGCCCTCTTCGCTCAGCTCCGCTGGGCTCATGCTCCCGCCTGCCCGCCTCTTCCCCGCCGGGCCCCACGGTGGCGGCGCTTTGTGACGCCCGCGCGTGTCCCCCACCCTTTAAGGGCCAAGCGGCGGTGGGGATCAAGGGCTGGCCGCCGAGGATCGCTTTGGGCCCTAAGTGACGGTTGTGCGGCTGGACGCCGCGGTTCCAGAGGCGTGCCCCGGAAGGAACCTCAGGTCCTAAGGCTCTCAGAGCTCTCGCCCTGTGTGTCCCTTGGCCTCCGCAGTCTTCCTGGGTGGAACCCTGGTCCCCTGCGGGCTCCTCTCGGCGACACCCAGACTGTGGTCCCCACACTTAGGAGATGCTAGAATAAGCTCTGTCTCCCGCTGATCGAGCCCTTAGGCAAGTCGCCCACCTTAAGGAAGGCAGCCTCCCAAAGGAGAACTAGAGAAAAACAGAGAAGCTAGCTCCTGCTTCCTTTTTCCGAGAGAAGGTTGTGTGAAAAGAGTAGAAAACTTAGAAAACTAATACTGAACCTGATTCCAAGTCTCACTCGGTGAGATTTGGGGAAGAGCGCTGCCTATACTTTAGAGTACCTGGTTGCAAAATACTGAGGTTGGCCTGGCTTGAGCTTGGAAAGGAAGACGGGGACAAAAGCAGAAGAGTCAGTGTGAGGCCAACCTATGTACTTCCTTGCCAGTCAGCGCTACATAGTGAGACCCTGTCTCTAAAGACAAAAGGCTGTGGTTGAACTTTTACTTCCTACGGATCCTTTCTGCTTGTTCTACCTGGATATAATATGACTGAAGAGAGATGGAGAGACATGGTCTTCAGTCCCTGGGTTAGGATACTCAAGGATTGTTCGCTTTTGATTTCAGCACTTGATAGGCAGAGGCAGGCTGACTGAATTCAAGGCCAACCTAGTCTACCTGACTAGTTCCAGGACAGCCAGAGCTACAAAGCGAGACCCTGTCTCAAAAAAGACAAAAATAGAAACCAGAATACTGAAATAAGTTCCAAACATACCATTTTGGGTCCAGAAAGCTCCATTCCAACTCCTTGTTTGATCAGCTTCTGTAAAAGATTGATTACACTTAAAAGGAATTGTTATGGTTAAATTGAATCTATAGGTAATAAGACTTTATTTTACAAAAGTTTCAGATTTATAGAAACAGTTAAGTTCTCATGTACTTAGCACCCAGTTCCCCTATTGTAACATCTTCCACAGTACAGGGCAGTTATTGTGACTATAAAACAATACTGACAGCTTAGCATGACAGCGGGTGATCCCAAGGTTCTGAGGCTGAAGCAGAAGGATCACTTCGAATTCTAGGCCTGCCTGACCTTCAGAAGAACCTGTCTTTTTTTTTTTTGTTTTGTTTTGTTTTGTTTTGTTTTTCGAGGCAGGGTTTCTATGTGGTTTTTTGGAGCCTGTCCTGGAACTAGCTCTTGTAGACCAGGCTGCAGGCTGGTCTCGAACTCACAGAGATCCGCCTGCCTCTGCCTCCCAAGTGCTGGGATTAAAGGCGTGCGCCACCATCGCCCGGCTTAGAAGACCCTGTCTTAAAACTAAGTGGTTCTGCTGCTCCCTGTAATCCCAGCCCTCTGGGTACAGAGACAAGAGAATCAGTTCTGGGCTACAAGACCCTGACTCAAGCACAAGGAGCCTGAGAGAAGCCTCAGCAGATACAGGAACTGCTGTTAAGCCTGATGACAGAGGAGTCCAGGATCCACATGGTGGAAGTGAAGAACTGACTTCCTTCCACAAGCTGTCCTCTGACCTACACAATAAATAAAGATGTAAACATCGTTTAAATAGTTTAGAGGTATTTTAGTGTGTGTGTGTGCATGCAGCTTGCCTGCATGAATGTATCACATTTAAGCCTGGGGGCTAGAGAGAGATCAGTGGAGTGGTGAAGAGTGTACCTCTCTTCTGGAGGACCTGATATCAATTCCCAGCACCCACATCAGACAGCTCACAATCATACAATCCAGCTCCAGGGAATGTTTCTGGTCTCTGTGGTCACCACACTCACATGTACTTCTTGACACAAAAATACACACACATAATTTTTTAATATAAAAAAGGATGGGACTGGAGTAATGGTTCAGCAGTTAAGAGAACTTGATGTTCTTGCAAAGGACCTGGATTCGGTCCCCAGCACCCACTTGGTGACTCAACCACTTGTAACTCCACTTACAAGGGAGCCAACACCCTTATCTCACCTCCATGGGCACTATATTCACATGGTGTACAGACATACATGCAGGCACAACACCCATACACACACACCTTCAATCCCAGCACTTGGGAAGCAAAAGCTGATCAATCTGAGCTTGAGGCCAGCCTGGTCTACAGAGTTCTAGGACAGCAAGAGCTATACAAAGAAGTTCTGTCTCTGTCTCAAAAAAGAAAAAAGGAAACAAGAAAAATAATTCCCTCGGGAGGCAGAGGCAGGCAGATCTCTGAGTTTGAAGCCAGCCTGGTCTACAAGAGCTAGTTCCAGGACAAGCTCTAAAGCTACAGCAAAATCCTGTCTCGAAAAACCAAAATAATAATAATAGCCGGGTGGCAGTGATGCACACCTTTAATTCCAGCATTCGGGAGGAAGAGGCAGGCGGCTCTCTATGAGTTCAAGGCCAGCCTGGTCTATAAGAGTTAGGTCCAGGCCAGGCTCTAAAACTACAGAGAAACCCTGTCTCAAAAAAAAAAAAAAATGAATAGGCAGGGTGGTGGTGGCACACGCCTTTAATCCCAGCACTTGGGAGGCAGAGGCAGGTGGATCTCTGTGAGTTCGAGGCCAGCCTGGTCTACAAGAGCTAGTGCCAGGACAGGCTCCAAAGCTACAGAGAAACCCTGTCTCAGAAAAACTAAAAAAATAAAATAAAATAATAATTCCATATACACATTAAGAAAACATTTTTTTTCTTTTTTGGTATTTTTGATTTTTTTTGTTTTTCTTTTTTGGTATTTTTGAAATAGGGTACTATGTAGCTCTGACTGTCCTAGAACTCACTATGGAGACCAGATTGGTCTCAAACTCAACAAGATCCACCCGCCTCTGCCACCACTAAAGCTGGGACTAAAGCTCTGTGCCCCACACCTGGCAACTTTTAAGAGGCTTTTTTAAACCTCAACGTTTCCAGTTCTGCCACCCTCTTTCTCTTTAAACGATGGTCCGATGGCAGATTTCAGCTTACAGATCTTCATGAAGGCCTGAGGAGTAAGACCCTAGAGGATGAGCGTGGTGACACCATTCTCAGGGCCAAAATCCAAGACAAGGAAGGCATCCCGCACAACCGGCAGAGCTGCTGTTCACTAGGAAGTCCCTGGAGGATGACCACATCTTGTCAGACTACACTATTCAGAAAGAGTGCCCCCTGCACCTGTGTGGTGGCATCATAGAGCTGTCCCTTTGCCAGCTCATCCAGAAGTACATCTGGGACAAGATGATCTGTCACAAAGGCACCCAGGTGCAGTGCAGTCAACTCCCACAGGAAGTGCACCCACAACAACAACCTGCACCCAAATGGAAGGTCAAGTCATTTGACCCATGACCCCAGAACCTAGCAAAGCTCCAAGGTCCCCCTCCATCATCTGGAAATATATATATGCCGATACTGATGCATGACAACTAACCGAAGCTCAGGTTTTGTTCACATTTTCTTTGTTTTTACCTAGTGTTAGTTTACCTTTTTTAGGGGGAGACACGGTTTCTCTGTGTAGCCCCGGGTGTTCTGAAGCTCCCTAGATCTGGATGTCCTAGAACTGCAGACCAAGCCGACCTCAAACTCAGAGACTAGTGTCATTTTTCTTTTTCTATTTCTGCATTCCACCCAGTCTTTTTTTTTTCCTTTTTTCTTTTTTTCCTCTTTTTTTGGCTTTTCGAGTCAGGGTTTCTCTTTAGCTATGGAGCCAGTCCTGGAACTTACTCTGTGAACCAGGGTGGCCTTGAACTCACAGAAATCCACCTGCCTGCCGGGCGGTGGTGGCGCACGCCTTTAATCCCAGTACTCGGGAGGCAGAGGCAGGCGGATCTCTGGGAGTTCGAGGCCAGCCTGGTCTACAAGAGCTAGTTCCAGGACAGGAACCAAAAGCTACGGAGAAACCCTGTCTCGAAAAATCAAAAAAAAAAAAAAAAGAAATCCACCTGCCTCTGCCACCAGGGATTAAAGGCATGCACCACCACTGCCCAACTATCCCATCCAGTCTTTTTTTTTTTTTCCTACAGGACATTTTCTTGACTATCCCATCCTCTAGTCTTTTTTATTTATTTTTTTTTTTTTTTTGGTTTTTCGAGACAGGGTTTCTCTGTAGCTTTGAAGCCTGTCCTGGAACTAGCTCTTGTAGACCAGGCTGGCCTCGAACTCACAAAGATCCGCCTGTCTCTGCCTCCTGAGTGCTAGGATTAAAGGCATGCGCCACCACCGCCCGGCCCCATCCTCCAGTCTTAACGAGTACAGTTTCTTAGACTTTTTTTCCTTTTGACGACTTTGACACTTCCAAAGAATATTGGGGGGCCAGGGCCAGACAGATGGCTCAGAGGTAAAGAGCACTGGCTGTTCTTCCAGAAGTCCCTGGTTCAATTCCCAGCACTCAAATGGCAACTCAAAACTGTCTATAACTTCAGTTTCAGGGGACCGAACACCCTCACACAGACATACATGCAAGCAAAACACCAATGGACATAAAAATAAATAAATAAAAATAGGAATTGTCAAAAAAATTTAAAGCATATTAGTTTTTGCTTTTTACATTTCAATTATGTGATGGACATGAGTGAATTGTCTGCGCATATGTCTGTGTAACATGTGTATTCCTGGTGCCCTCAGAGGTCA